AATAGTCCAAATCCAACCAAAATCAGGAATGGCTACATAATTTAAGTGGAAGGAATTTAATATAGGAAACTAATGACTTAGGTGAGTGAAGAACTGAAGCTAAAAGACCACGAAGAAAACCAGAGAATAGAAAGAAGTTACTACCATCATGGGGGCTGATGGCGCACCAGGCTAACAGAACCCATAAATCAGGAATGTATGGCAGGAGATAAAACCACTCCTGAAGCATTATTAAAATAATGACACATTCCCCACCCCAACAAAAAGTTTGACCTGTTTTCTGCTACTCTGAATTCCCACCTTTTCCTCCCTCTCCCTAAACTCAATCATTTAAAACAAATAAATAAATAACCCTGGCCTGACAACAACTAGGTAGGGTGTATTAAAATAAAATGGGTATCATTCAGATGTAGATTTTTAAACCATGCCTATTTTCACAGTCACATAAAAATCCAATCCTCCCATAGCCTACAGTGTCTGACCCCCTGCTTACCTCTCAGTCTATTTCCTATGAGTCACCCCTTCTTCATCTCTATTCCAGCCCCACTGGCCTCCTTGCTGCTCCTTGAGTATCCAAACATTCCCACCTCAGGGAATTTGCACTGTTTCCTCAGGATTTCTTCCTGAAATCCACCTGACAAACCCTCATCTCCTAGTCCGTAACTAAACACCCCATCTAAAACAGCAGTCCCCCCCCCATCATTCTTACTTCCTTACCTTTATTTTTCTTTATAGCATTTATCACTATCTAATGTATTATACCTTGGTTTTTTGTTGTTCTTGTTGTTGTTCTTTACTGAGGATCTCTACTGACTAGAATATAGTCTTTAGGAGAGCAGAGACCTTGTCTGTTTTAACCAATTCTGTATCTCCAGACACACTACACGACAGTGTCTGGTATAAAGTTGGTGTTTAATAAATATCTAATTATGAGCCAAAATAACAAATAGTTTAAATGTTATCTTCCACAAATATCTAAGCATGACAATTTGCTAGTCAAAGCAGCAGTCACAACAACAAAGAGTATTTCTAGTCATTCCTTTGTAAATGTAGAAATTCGTAATTCATATTTATTAAGGGCTTCAGCTAAAGCTTATACTATGTGAACATGCATTATGTAAAACCCAGGTGTTTCATATATCCAAGTATGATTTGTGCTGTTCAAAACAGCCAGTTTGCTCAAACCTATTTTTCATCTGCTTTCTGGGCATGCCCTCTAAAAAATGGTTGGTATTCAATAGGAGTACTTTTGATTTTTTACTCTTTTTACAGCCACCAAAGCCATTCACAGATACGGACGGTAAAAGGTGGATGCCACAACTGTTCCAAAACATGTTCTCATTATGAAATAATAACATTATTATAATTTGTGTGGCCATAATCTGATTTGTAAAGAGCTCCTCCAAAAGAAAAAATATATACTTTAAATGCATTACACATATTCTGTTTTAATCTTTTCATAAACAATCAGCTAGATGAAGTATAATATGTACCTGGCTAATTTGATGACATAGAAATAAATAGAGAGAGAACTATCAACTCTTTTTTTGGTCTAGTCTTCAATTAAAATTTTATCTATGGCTTCTTGTACTATGAGTATCCATGTATTATATATTAAGACAAATTCATGATGTTATATGGCCCTGGTTTCCCACTTTTGATCCTCAAAGTGAGCCATATCCTCTGATTATAGGAGTATTTTTCATTAGACATTAAATTGATAGAAACTGATAACACAGATTCAAGGATTGTACAGGATATGTACAATAAGCCCTCATAGCATATTTATCCAGTTGTCAATCCATTAACTATTGAATAGAAAAATGACAAAATTTTTAGAGTAATTTCAATGCGTATAATGCTTTTGTAGTAAAACTTAACCTCTCTAGAGTAAGTTGCTATTTAGACCACTAAAAAAACCAACAGTGTAACATTATCTCAGACATTATTCAATAGTAAGGACATCTAATGCACAAAATAACAAAACATTTTGGATAGGGAGAATGATAAGCAAACCAGTAGGCAATCTGTGATCATGTATTTGAAATTGGAAAGTATGACTGACTCTAGAAAAGCAACAAAAATTAATTCGATGATAAATCCACTTGAGTAATTTACTCTATCTGTTCCATCACCATCATTTCAAGGAAAAACCTAAATTGTGTTTGAGGTTTGAAGAGTCTTCCAAACTTAATGAGTCTTTCACATACTTAAGGGGCGCAACAAAAGTCCTGGTTAAAATAAAAAGCTAGACAATAAATCTGAAACTTTGAGGCCTGCTTGTCCTGAGCTATGCTCAAATTGCTTCTTGGTCACTTTGCTGCTGGGTATCATTGATTAGTCTTGGAAAGACCATCCATGGGGCAGTCTAAAATTTGTTCTTTTGACCTGCCCAAGACAGAACATATTTCAGGGAAGAAAAAAATAACTATAAAATATTTGTCAGTTTTGAAAAGCAAACTTTTGATATTCAACTTTTAAACACCTTTTTGGTATTTACTACCCCTGTTGCTCTTAGCACTAAGTTTTAATTAATTATTTTAAAACAAAACCCAATGATCTTAGAGCAATGTTCCCAGTTTTCCTTCCATAATTATAATTCCATTGTTTTAAGATAGTTAAACCTTTTTTTGAACTAAAGTGCCAGATATTATTTAGCGCAGAATTATTTAGGGGTTTTATGCATGAACGCTTGACACTTTTTTCCAAGTCAACAAATATTTAGAGTCAACAACCCAGAAGGTTTATTAATTGAAAAGCATCTGACTGGAACTGAACTCTAAATAGAATGATCTTATTTCTCCCTCAAAAAAGGAGAAAAAAACTAAAACTATAAGGTGTCCCTAATAGAAAAGATTGAAATAAATGATGAGGTAATCATTTACTTTAATGAGCTACTGACAATAGAAAATAACTTTATGAAGAAACTTAGTAACAATAGCTAGTAATAATCCATCATGAAGTTTCTCCTTATCATGATGAATTAAATTATATCTTCATTGTACTTTTTCTCTTCAGATACAGAATTTTTTCAATGACCATTCATTACTGAAGTTAATTCTCATTTCATTGAGATTCTTAGCAAAGAACTTTCTTGTTCTTTATTTGTCAAACAGTGCAAAACAACTATGATTATATCAACTAGTTCTGGGGTTATCATGAGAATTACTATTTTCATGCTACACCAGTGTTTTTCTAACAAGGGGCTACCATGATCTCTTTTGATGCAATCAGATAAACTATACGTACTGAAGCCTGATTTTTCATAATTCTGAATGGGTCATTACTGCTCAAAGGTCTTTTGATTAATCTCATTGTTTGCTCATTAAATACTCTGTTGTTTTTTTTTCTCCATTTTCATCAAGTCTCCAATTCCAAGCTGATTGTCCTTTCTATGGATAAAGAATTTACACACTATTACTTTTAACTGTCTGATGCAAGTGCTTCAAATGTCCTTCTTTGTAAAATACTCCCTTCTTATTACACAGTATCTTGCCCTTTTCTGATTATTACAAAAATTAGACCCCCTTCCAGTGTTAACTTCTCAAACCTGTGCCAGCAAATCCATTCCTTCTAGTCCTCTTTCCATTCCCACTCCTCCACTGAACTCTTACCCTCTGCCTTCCAGTACCAGTAGATTCTAATCTATCCAACTAGCAAATTATTAATGCTATTATTGTTACAATGATCCAAATCTCTCAAAAGTTCTCTAACATCTCTAAGTTATTTTATTATCTTGTCAAGGCATTCAAGATCTTCACTGTGGTAACCCCAAATATCTTTTTCATAGTACTCCCAAGAATGAAGTCTTTGCTTCTGCTAGGCTGACTGACTCACCTTTCTCAGATACGGTTTACACATTACCTTCCCTGATTTTTGACAATGCTGTGAATTTTACTAAAATGACCTACTTCCTTCTTCATATGCCTGATTTTCAAGGTTCAGCTCAAATTCCCTCTTCTCTGTGAAGCTCTTCATATAACCTTAGACTATTCTAAATCTACCTTTTTCAGATTCCCTCCTCCTAGTTTAGCACTCAATTAGAAAATACATTTATTTACACTTGCATTCATGTCTATACCGCATTCTTTCTTTTGAGCAGCCAAACTAAGCAACTAGCCAACAAGTTAACATTTATTGAGCACTCACTTGTTAGTCACTGTATTGGACCAGGGGAATAGAGAATGAACAATGTTTCATTTATTTATTCAGAACTCTTAATACAACGCATGTCACACATAATATAAAAGTTTTTATTGAATAAATGAGTAACACATCACTAATAGATTTGCTATGAAAAGTGACCACTATTCTGGGAGCACCTGGGTGGCTCAGTGGGTTAAAGCCTCTGCTTTCGGCTTAGGTCACCATCCCAGGGTCCTGGGATCAAGTCCCACATCGGGCTCTCTGCTCCGTGGAGAGCCTGCTTCCTCCTCTCTCTCCCTGTCTGCCTCTCTTGCCTACTTGTAATCTCTGTCTGTCAAATAAATAAGTAAAATCTGTAAAAAAAACAAACAAACAAAAAAAAAACCACACTATTCCAAAGATGCCATGGAGTTGTTCTATTATACACATAGCTAATACCACAAAAAGGTCATGCAAGAACTGGAAGATTTAAATCTCAGTAGAAATCCCAATCCCAGGTGTTGATTAATTTGAGAGTAAAATCAACTACTTATTTTAAAATCATATTTTATAAAAAACACATTTCATTCTTCCCACTATTGCCAGTGCATTTGACAAGTAGGCAGAAACCAATGATTTGTAAACACAGCAAACAATACATTAATAATTATTGATATCCAAGGTATTTGAATTCTAAAAATGTATCCTACAAGAAAATATGACTATCAAAACTGTAAATGAAAAGAAATAAAACAACAGCTTGAGAACATATACACATTTCTATATATGCTAGTCCTACTACTCAAACACATGCAAACTATTGTATGACCCATTATTTTCAAAGCATGTACCTTAAAACTCTGTGTTCCACATACCTGTCCAGTCTCCTACTATTTTAAGGTGGACCCCAAATGTTGCTTTGGTTTCAGTAGGACACTAAAACAAACAAACAAACAAACAAAACCACTGGAATCAATTCTGAGAATAGTTAAGTATTACCAAACTATGATTTAATAACAATTTTCATTCTCATAGCAAGTCCTCCAAATCAATAGCAAATAGAAAGGAATGAACTAAAAATCGATATAGATCCTCATTAGTGTAAGAAAAAAGCAACTTCGACCAGTCAATAATACAATATACATTTCTCTAAAAGCCCATAGGTATCTATAAAAAAAGACATATAGTCTAAAATTGTTAGTATATCACATTTAACAACAAATATTGCTAAAATGCCTTTTGAATCAAAATATTTAAGAGGGCACAGCTTTTAACCACAAAGGAAGAAATGGAGATTAATGATTTTAATGTCTTTTTCACTCCAGATATTAATATACACTTCACATCTTAACAAGTTCCAGGAATAAAGGAAAAAAAAAATATTTTCCCAAAGTGACCTGAATTTTCCATGTCCGACAAGGAAACTCCTACTGAAAGAGTTCTATTTCATTCCCTCCCTTAATTCTCAGAAGAAATAACCTGGAGTGAATTGGCAAGGGTACCTGGGAGGGAATGAGTATGGTTATGGAAGTAAGAAAAGCAACCACAGCCCCATGTTTATGAAATGTAGAAAATACCCACATCACTGAAATGAGAGAATAATTTTGGTTCACAATAAAGAAATGCAGAATCTCCTTTTATTTTTCAGAACTCTAATCTCTCATCCATAATCATCAGATTCAAACCTTGTGAAAAGTAAGTTTTTTCATAACTCATTTGGTGGCACTATCTGACTTGAGTTTATGGGAGGGTAATGACGGGAGGCTAACACCTTTGTATAAAAATTCATACAGAAGTGTTTTCTATAGAAGTATCCATTTGTTGGGGCACCTGAGTGGCTCAGTAGGTTAAGCATCTGCTTTTGGCTCATGTCATGATCTCAGGGTCCTGGGATTGAGCCCAGCATTAGACTCCTTGCTCAGATTTTACTCAAAAATAAAATCTTTAAAAAAAAGTATCTGTGTAAGAATGTTACCCCATATCCTGCTAGAGATCTTATGTAATATATGAAATATACATACCTTTTAAAATCCACAAAATTTTTAACTCTGAAAATATGTCTAATCTAAGGGTTAAGGACAAGAACTTTATACATATTATTATTTTAACTGTATGATAAAAGTTCTTTCAACTGTCCTACTTCCTAAAACATCCCTTTCTCATCACATAATATCTTGTCCTTTCCTGATTTTTACAGAAATTAGCACCTTCCCATTGCTAACTTCTCAAACCTGTAACTACCAAAGTTTTACTGAGTACAATTTACCAAGGGCAGTGGCAATTCCTTTATTTCCAAAATCTCACAACAACCCCTGTCTTTCATAGTAAGGGAAACTGAATAATTCAGACTGAAAAATATGAACTTGCCCAAGATCATACAACTAGTAAGAAGACGAGACAGAGTTTGGATCCAAGTCTATCTGACTACATAGTTTTAACTACGGCAAGTCACTGTTCCCACTAAGGCAAACATGGAAAATGGGTAAAGGTTGCATGAGAAATCAAATGGTGTAGGAGGAAGAAAAGTTATTTGTTGAAGATTACTAGAATCGACGTACAACAATAAGAATTAAGGGGAAAGATGAGCTGAAGTCCTATGTGGTCCTGGGGACTCTGTGATGGAGAATGGGTTGCATAAAGCAAGTCCGAGATCCTTGAGCTCACTGTGTCAACCAATCAGCGTAGGTCATACTATGATGCTGTAAGAAGAGGAAATAAGAGGAAAAGAAGACACCATGGAGAAATGTAAAGAACTCGCAGTCAAACAAGAAAGGCAGCTTGGAAACCAGAGAGAACAGGAAAATAAAAATGTAGATATTGCTCACCTCACCAGAAATCATAACCATACTAAAAATACATGATCTAATAAAGGTTCAGGGTTGGGAATTGATGTGACACGGAATTTCCAAACTACTCTTTTGCAATCAGTGTTTCTAATGGAATCATTACTGTATGATAAAAATACGAAACGAAGTAAAAGAAACCATAAATATGATATTATTTAAATATTATTTGTACTATAAAAAGTGCTATTTCATTTATAATGGTGACTCTAATATTTATCTCATTTGCATTCCAAGATCATTCAGTTTTGTTAACTAGTTTATCTTAATAATTATACCATTAGTAAGATGGTGTGATGTGTAAAAACCACCCATCATTTTCACTCTATACTATTTAATGTTGGCCAGAGCCTCTATGCAGTAAAATTTGTGCTTTAAAGAAAGCAAGAACCCCAACAGAGTTCCAAGCTACCAATCTGTGTGTCCATGCATCTCCTGATGTTTCCCTCATTGTGAACTAACCCTCGAATTATAAAAATAAGATCTAAGCCAAGAAGGCATCAGAATAGAGAGGAAAAAGTTAGTCTTGAGATGCCTGAGTGGGCATCTGGCTTGATATAATCTCATATTCTAAAGGAAAACATATCTTCCCAAATATTCATATCTGTAGCCCATTCTTTCAGTGCAATTGTAAAAGATACTCAGATGTGATAACATCCCCTCCAGTCCTGTAGGAGCCTACAAAACTCCACCTTGTGAGGCTGGCCAAATGTATCAGTACAGTTTTTAACGCTGATCTGATTGTGAATAGATAAAACATAGTAGTGTTTCCCTCAAACTCTGGGTATAATACCTTTATAAGTACTGATACTTTCTCAAACTAACTGGAAAGAAGAACACAGAATTTAAAATAGTCTTGCCCAATCATATTGCTTCAAATTTGAAGGGGTCCCGCCAGAGTAAAGCACAGAATGGTGTCAGCATGTGTGCTTTGAAGCAATGACTGAGGATCTTAGAATCACATTCTAGTAGCTTTGCACAAAAAATGTTCAGATTGGGGCGTCTGGGTGGCTCAGTGGGTTGAGGCCTCTGCCTTTGGCTCAGGTCGTGGTCTCAGGGTCCTGGGATTGAGCCCTACGTAGGGCTCCCTGCCCAGTGGGGAGCCTGCTTCTCCCTCTCTCTCTGCCTGCCTCTCTGCCTGCTTGTGATCTCTCTCTGTCAAAAATGAAATTTTAAAAAATGTTCAGATTCACTAATGTTGCTTAAAACATAGTGTAGTGATTCTTTAATGCTTCCTCTTATCTTTTAATTTTTTTTTAATTTTTTAAAGTTTTTATTCGAATTTCAGTTAGTTAACATACAGTGTGATATTAGTTTCAGGTGTACAATACAGTCATTCAGGGCTTCCATACATCACCCGGTGCTCATCACAAGTGTCTACCTTAATCCCCATCACCTGTTCCCCCTTCTCCCCCACCCACCTCCCCTCTAGTAACCATCAGTTTGTTCTCTATAGTTAAGAGTCTGTTTCTTGATTTCTCTCTCTTTTTTTCCTTTTGCTTGTTTGTTTTGTGAAATCATATGATGCTTGTCTTTCTCTGATTGACTTATTTTGCTTAGCATAATACTCTCTAGGTCCAACTACATCATTGCAAATGACAAGATTTCATTCTTTTTTATGGCTGAATAATATTTCTGTGTGTGTGTGTGTGTGTGTGCGTGTGTGCATGTGTACGTACAGCAAGAGGCAAAAGAATGAAACCAGACCAAGACCACTTTCTTAGTCCATGCACAAAAATAAATTCAAAATGGATGAAAGACCTAAATGTGAGACAGGAAACCATCAAAGTCCTAGAGAACACAGACCTTTTTGACATTGGCCATAGCAACTTCTTTCCAGATATGTCTCCTCACTATCTTTTTAATAGTGCTTAAAAAACTTCTCAAAGAGAATAAATAGTAAAGTACAGATATCTGTGGCTATCTACTTCTCAAACATTAATAAGGAAATACGCTTATAACAAGTTTTCAGTCTAAAAAGTTTCAGGATAATATGTGTACTTAAGCCTATATTATTAAAATAAAAACAGATATGACCTTTTTTCTATACAGAGAAATAAGTTGAAGAGAATACATAGTATGGCATTAGGAATATTAACTTCTGGGATGCAAAACTGAAAACAGAAAATGAGAACTCATTTTGTATACATCTCTTTTTAAAATTTATTATTAGCCTTTGTAATGTTTATAATTTTAAATATTTTAAAGACCTAATTTAAAATGTAAGCAATAAGACATTGCTGAGTCTCAATTTAGTCTCACTTAAGTTTCCTACATGAAGAAAAAGAGTACGGATCATGTTGACCATAATATATGTACCAAAATATACATCACCCAGTTTAAGGATAAGAAAATAAAGTGACCAAATTTGTATGAGAGAACAGATCTGGAGGAATTTCTATTTTGATATCCTTGAGTAAAAATGTTTTCCTTCCAATTATTTGTTCAATATGGCACTGAGTTTTTAAAGTGCTCAAATGACTAATGATTTTATAACAGTCCCACAGAAATATAAACAGATATTACATAATCATCTTACATTTGAGAACTAAATGTAAAAATGATGTCACTGCACAATGATTTATTCAACATGGAAAAAGAAATTTCAAAGCCACAATGTGTTTGTTTTTAAATCAATATCCTGCAATAATAAATAAAAATGATTCTAAAGTAGATGGTACTTTATTAAACACTCTATTTTCAATATAACAAATTTGTTAAGCCACAGAAAATGATAATAGGAGTCTTTAATTATTATTGTCAGGTCTTATTTTTAACCCCTTCTTCCAAAGCTCTAACTTCTATGCCTGTTGCATGTTTCCACCTGAAATTCACTCTAAATGTTCTATGTTTAAAATTCTCAATATCTTACTTCTCAAATTGTCCTCTCTTTCTGATTCTCTTATGTCTGGACATAGAACCTAGACCCTTATCAGGACAGAAGCTCAAATTTCAGAGGAATATTATGTATATTTCTTCCTGCCAGCATGCAATCAACTTTTGAGTCCTCTAAAATAATCTTACCAAAGAAAATGTCTGATTACAGCAATCTCCTATTGATTAACCTTTTGTGTCCGCCTAAGAAAAAACACC